TTGTTTCAGAACGTTCACCCCTCATTTTACACCCTTAGAGGGCGAATTTCCAAAAAGTGCTACTTAGTGCTAAATTACGTTACATAAGGAACGTCTATGCAAAATTTCATACTTCTAAAATCGATTGTAACAAACTTTTGTACAAATTTTCATCCCTTATTTCTAGGGGATGAATGTCAAAAATTAGCTTCTAGGTTCTCACTTTCGTCACTTAAGGAAACTCTGTACAAAATTTCATACTCCTAGAACTAACATTTTTTGTACAAAATTTCACCCCCCAGTTTCACTACCCTTAGGCTATACATTTCCAAAAATCGCTTATCAATGTTCAAATGCGCCACATCTGTGCAAAAGTTCATACTCCTATAATTACACCCCTTTATCTAATTACACCCCCTTATAGGTCGAATTTTAAAAAATTACTTAGTAGTGCTCATCTTAGAGAACGAATTAATATTCTCCATATTCACTCCAGTTTCCTAATACTAGCACAGATAACACATAATCATACTAGTTATTTTTTTATTGGAATAGAAGTAATTTTTATTAGAAGGTATACAAAAAAATTAAAAATCTAAAATTTTATTTTCATAGCTACATTTTTATAGCCTTAGGATGCCTTATGTACTAACGAATACGAAATATATAATCAATACATATTTCTTTAAATATCGAGAAATAAAATATGTTTTGGCAACACCGTACGAAATATCGCCGCGCGTAGTCCTCAAAATTTAAAATATTAGCATTTTCAGGCTTCGATTATGTTCCAAAGCGCCACCGTGTGACAAATCACTAAAGCTTCCACACGAGAGTTCTTAAAACTATAATATTCTTTGGTACAAGTAACTATTTTTGTAACCGCTTTCTATAATACAGGAAAATCTCACTGTAATTCTTTAACAAAATTATTAATATTTCTTTTATTAAGTGCTGACACAATGTGTTTCCCAATTTATGTATAATACCAATATAAAAATAAACAAGAAATAACATAACATAACATAAACTCGAAGAGCCCAACAACACTGCAAAAATTCAAATCACATTGAAATGTCAAACAAAACTGAAAGTATGGTAATCGCAAAACAATTTCCGATGCACGCGATCAACTTTGAGTGACAAACGATGGCGACAGCGCTGCCAGATTGTGATGGATTTATGAGATGAATCTTAATTTAAAAGTGACACACTATATTTATTATATCATTTTTTAAATATTTTTACGTTTTATTTTTAATTTAATAACTAATATTTTAATAATTAATTGATTTATTTGTTTTATAGCTTATTTTACTTATTACATATTGGCAAAAACTAGTTCATTATGAAGATTATTCTATGGGTTATTTATTGGTGTATGTACATCTTACAACGCTATAAGTGGTAATAACAAGTAAGAGGATGCTATTACTGCACAAACTAATAATCACAGAATTTAATAAAAACTAACGTAGAAATAACTTTGAAAGCGGTGTAATGTGCTTATCAATCAAACTTACTTCTCTGACTGCAGTCAAGGGTAATAAAGGACCTTTATTGTCATGTTCTCGTTCAAAATAGTTTATCAGGGAGGCTACAAGTTCTTTGCTTCGGCTGTTTAAATGCTTCGGCATATTTTCAACACACAATTTCAAGAAATTCAATACAAAAACTCGAAAATTTAGTTCTTAAAAGAACTGTTTGTGCTTAGAAGTACAACTTTTAAAAAAAGACTATGAAAATGGGGAAAAAACGAGAATTACTCACAAAGATTCAACAACAACACGATATTATACAAAATAATGAGTGACATTAGGATAATTGTCAAATAATAAACGACAACCTTGCTGAAAACGGCGCAATGTGACCAACATAGCGAAAATAAAATTCGGTTTAAACTAATTTTTGCAACTTTAATCTAAATAAAATATCTGTTACATTTAGTGATGTGCAGGTCGTAACGTGCCTCAGGGAACGTGCCCATGTTCCGGGAATGTTCCGGGAACGTTCCTCTAAGGTCGGGAAAGTGGCTGAAATTCGGGATAGTTGTATTTTGATGTGAGTTGAAATATTCCTCGGAACATTTCCCACTTTTCGGGAACTTTTCTTAAATTTGGGGTAAGTAATCAAAACATTGGAAAAGTTCTTCTTCTTCTTGTTTCACGATGACCACGCGCCTTTCAACGGCCAGTCCGAGTCTATTATTCTTTGATTATTGTTTCTTTCTGATTTCTTTATTCTTCAGTCAAACAGAGAACGACCTCACGGACGCAGACGCCTGGAATTGAAGAGACTTTGGGCGCATTGAGGAAAACTTCTGCTCATTACTGCACTTTCATGTGGGATGATTCTCTTCTAGGGCCCTCTAAATTAGGCTTTTATGTCAAGGTAGTGAAGGATCAGGAATCACAAAGAGGAAAGACATGTACTGTGGCGTGTCCAGCAACTAACAGACAGGGACTGCGCCAGGCCAGGATGAATATAAGGGATATACTGCAAATTAAATTACTTATTATTGAAAGTTAAATATCATCATTATTCACCATTTCTAGCAAAGCAGGAACATGCAAAGCGTGATTAAGCTACAAAAACTACTACAATGTATTATCGATTAAAACCTGTAGTACTAGTTCTACTTCTATGGAGATAGGATTCCTTTCTAGTTGAAAAATATTTAAGCAAAAACCTCCAGCAAGCCACAATTATTCATCTTCATATAAGTTTACTCTAGATTACCTAGTGTACAGACTGATAATCTTATTGGCATGAAATCCATAAGCGTGGCGAATCCATATCCGTAGGTATTCACAATTTAATACTATTTTGCTTAAGGTATTGATACACCAATTTTGCCTCTTTGGATATTGGGTTCCTCAGGACATCTTGAATCCTAATGGGAGAACTCATACAGCCAGCTAAAGACAGGTATAGAGTATGACATGCTTGATCTCTCAAACTACAAGCAAAAATAACGTGCGTAAGGTCCCCCTTACTTCCACATTCACACAGAAAAGAGTCTTTGATACCCAACTTGTGAAGGTGAGTCGGAGTGAGACAATGTGACGACCTCATTCTGCAGAACAAACTGACATATTCGCGATTTACATCCGCGCATTTGTCGAACCATGGGGATCTGAGAGGTTGTGGAACAATGTTATATATAGTAGAAGACTCCTTTTGTTTGTCCCATATTATGATATAAATTTGTCCATTCTTGTCTGCTTTCCTTCTTTATGACGCCAAGGAGTTCAGAATGATGAATCTTATTATTCACCAGGTTCCTGGACTTTCTCCCAAGAGATGCCAGTCTATCAGCTTCCGTGTTACCATCAATATTAGAGTGGCCAGGGATCCAGATTAGTTTTATAGATTTTCCTTGTTGTGTTAGAGTAATGATCCGCTCTTTTATTCTTCCTGCTATTTTTCCTGCTCTACAAGAAATATCCGAACGTGTGATACTCTGTAGAGCACTCTTTGAATCTGACAGAATGGCGATTTTCTCTGCATCATCCCCAAGACCCAATAAGGCTCTCTCAATGGCTAACATTTCAGCACTGCATATATACGTGTGCTTTATGCATCGGGCAATTGCTGAGTATCTTTTAGAAAAATTGTATATTCCAATACCACTTCTTTCAGATACAGGATCCAGTGACGCATCCGTGTATATTAGCTCATACCCTAATAATTCTTTTGAAATAAACTCCTGCAGTTTGGACTGACAACCTGGGGAAGCTTTAGTAAGGCCTGAATCTTCCCAGTGTACGTCTTGTATCTGACAATCAAAGTCAGCTTCGAAACATGGTAATATCTGGCTTTTTTCAAGAATGTTGTAAAACGATAGCACTGAGTCCAAACCTTCCAACAAGGCTGGTGATTCCCTTCTCGCCCAATAAGGGGGATCCTGATTGTAAGATATGTATAGCCCAATTAGACTTGTTGAAATAGCCTCTTCTGTGCAAGCCAGTTTCTTAGCCGAGAATTTGGCACATAACCAAACTCTTCTGGCTCTTAACGGCATTTCAGCCGTCTCCGACATCAAAATATTAGTGGGGGTGCTATTCATGCACCCTGTTACTACTCTTAAAGCTTGCATATGTATTTTGTCATATTTTCTTGCATTCTTTTTTGACATCGTTAATAATGCCTGACAACCATAGTCCATGTGGCATCTTACGATGCCCTTGTATATATTTATTAATGTAGATGGGGGGGATCCCCACCAGGTTCTGCAGAGAGCACGCATCACGTCTACTCCTTTCTGTGCTTTTCTGCAAGATTCTTCAATATGAGGATTCCAGAGAAGACGACGATCCATTATGAGACCAAGATACTTATATTGTTCCACCCATTCCACATCTTGTCTATCCGCTCTTATCGAGTGAGGAGGATTTGCTCTTTTCCCTCGAGAGATGTACATTGCCTTAGTTTTAGAGGGAGAGATGCTTAGACCATTGTTCTTCAACCAATCCAACATCGATATTAATGTTCGTTGAATTCTGTTTATCGCATTGTCAACATTCTTATGGGAAGTGTAAATGACATGTTGTGCATATTGTAAAATCTGTACATTCTCCTCCATCACCTGATGTATACCATTAGTATATATATTGAATAAGATTGGACTCAGGGGTGATCCTTGAGGAAGGCCTTTATAGTCTATTTGGGGACCTATGAGATCTCCTGTGTTAGGGGATCTGACAAAGATGCTCCTTTGTGTTAAGATTTTTAAGATTGCTTGTATGGACCATTTATCAATTTCAGCATCGTTTAATTTCCTCTCTAGGAGGTTTAATTGAACATTATCGTAAGCGGCTTTAAGATCAATAAATATACAGACAGCTATCTCCTTTCTGGCAAATGCCTGGTAAATATAACTAGATAATACTACCAGATTATCAGTGACACCACGTCCTCTTCTAAATCCATTTAGATGTTGATTGAAGAACCTATCCTGTTCTAACTTATGCTCTATTCTATTTTTATTATATTTTCAAATTCTTGCATAAGCAAGAGGAAAGAGCAATCGGTCTATAAGATTCGTGGTGAGACGGGTCTTTACCATGTTTTAGTAGTGGGACAATGATATGTTCCTTCCATTCCGCAGGTATCTCCATATCTTGTCTTAAAACGTCATTATAAATGTTTACCAGACATTCCTTCATTTTAATGGGTGTTTGGGAAATCATCTTGAACGTAATGTTATCTTTACCAGGACATGATTCCTTCCTGTTTTTTAAGGCATAGTTGAATTCATACATGGAAATACTCTTTAGGTCGTAGTTGTTGAATGCTCCAACTGCTGAGAAGTCTTTAGCGATGCAGTGAGGGGGGGCGAGGCTGTCCAACAACGTCTCGAGCCACAACTCCTTTTCAGCGCAGTGTCTAACTTGTATATAACTATTGGAGTATGCCTTGACCACTTTCCATATGGTACTCATGGGTGTGTTTTTATCAAGGCTTTCAGTAAATTTTCTAAAGCTTTCCTTTTTCTTTCGTTTCATGATCCTTCTTGCTACCGCCGCTTTTCTTTTGTACTCCAGATAGTTATGATCGCTGATATTTTCTTTATATGCCCGAAGGGCCCTGCTCCGTTCATCCACCGCCACGCGCCATGCCTTATCCCACCACCTTGGTTTGGGAGTTGCTTTTCTCTTGCCCTTTTGGAATGACGTTTTTGGGATATGTCCCAATGCTGCCCTATTGATCTCGTCTACCAGACTTAGATAAGAGTTTACGTTCACCCCCTGATTGAAGCTCATGAAGTATCCGTCCCAGTCCGCCTTCTTTGTGTTCCATCTACTTATAGGGTTATGTACTGTTTGGATGAACAAGTTAGAATTAATAAATACCCTCGTTGGAAAGTGATCACTCATGCCTGGGCTATCCACAATTTCCCATGAAATGTTTGGTCCTAGTTCTGCCGTCATTAAGGTGATATCCGGGCAACTTTTCCCTTGGTTCGGGGGAGTAATCCTGGTCGCTGACCCGTCATTTGGCACATTCATTTGGCACATTTCACTCGGCACATTTCGAACACCTCTGTTTGCTTCTGCATTGTGTTTTCGAGTGTCCATACCTCATACAATTGAAACACATAATCACAGGGCTGACGTATACATCCACTCTTACTTCGCAATATTCAATTTTTATGGACCTAGGAATAATTTTACCTTCTAATGTAATAATTACTGATTCTGTGTCTATATACTTTGCAGTGCCATCAACTATTATCTTTCTTTGTAAACGTCTAGCTTCAATTATCTTCGGTCCAGTTCTCCGTTCCGATACTATTTCCTCCATTTCTATGTTTTTATACACTCCTCTAGCAACTCCCTTACAGGAGACTAAGCTAGGTGGTATATATGCTTCTGGATTTCTTTCCTTTAATAATTTGCTAGAAAACAATTCATTAGCTGCGTTCCAAGAGCTGAATTCAATACCGACTCTGTTTTTTCCCTTCCTCGAGACTTTATTAACACCTATTATTCCAAATTCCTTAAGCCATCTTTCTAAACACATAGGGTGTAGTAGGTTGCCCAAGTTTTGTGTAACCTCCTCATCTTCTTTGCTGGTTTCCACTATTACCAAGTATGGTCCAGAATCTTTATATGTGTATTTAAAAAACTTCTTAGGGGGGCCAATTGACCCCCCTGAAGAAGCTGCCATGCTTGTTAATTCAAAAAACTTAGGTTATGGAAAGCAATGCAGGAAAAAAAGGAAATAAAAGCTAATTATATCAGAGGATTATTGCTCCCACTTACCCACTAATTATTTCTATCAAAATTGCACTTATTTATACTACTCCACTCGCTAAAAAACACTTTTTAAAGAAAGACTGCGAAAAGAACGTGCGTCACTTTCTGGCGCCAATCTCCAAACAAATTTAGGTTATGTTTATAACCTAGTTTCTCTTCTTTTTATTTGTGGCGTGGCCTGTTCACAACTTTTCCAATGTCGGCCTTGTGGTCGAAATGATTGCGCCGCATTCTAGTAGACGCAAGGTCGCCGGTTCGATTCCGGCCTCGGACATGGGTGTTAAATGTGTGTGTGTGAGTCTGTATTTGTCCAATTTTAAACGCTAATTAAATAATAAAAAATAAGCTGGCTGAATGTCGTAATAGACAAGTGGCCAAAAATAGGGAAAAAAAAAACTTTTCCAATGGGGTATCGGATTGGCGCCAGAAAGTGACGTACGTTCTTTTCGCAGTCTTTCTTTAAAAAGTGTTTTTTAGCGAGTGGAGTAGTATAAATAAGTGCAATTTTGATAGAAATAATTAGTGGGTAAGTGGGAGCAATAATCCTCTGATATAATTAGCTTTTATTTCCTTTTTTCCTGCATTGCTTTCCATAACCTAATTTTTTTGAATTAACAAGCATGGCAGCTTCTTCAGGGGGTCAATTAGCCCCCCTAAGAAGTCTTTTAAATACACATATAAAGATTCTGGACCATACTTGGTAATAGTGGAAACCAGAAAAGAAGATGAGGAGGTTACACAAAACTTGGGCAACCTACACCCTATGTGTTTAGGAAGATGGCTTAAGGAATTTGGAATAATAGGTGTTAATAAAGTCTCGAGGAAGGGAAAAAACAGAGTCGGTATTGAATTCAGCTCTTGGAACGCAGCTAATGAATTGTTTTCTAGCAAATTATTAAAGGAAAGAAATCTAGAAGCATATATACCACCTAGCTTAGTCTCCTGTAAAGATGCCATTACACGGCGTGTGGAGCGCCGATCCACGCTCCAGGCGCTTGGAGCGCCGCGCCAAGGCGCGCCTCACAGTGCGGCGGATGGTAATTCTAGCGGGACAAAACCTCAGGAGCGATATTTGGGACTTAAAATCTAAGAACGTAGCAAATGGTTTAATATATCTATAGCACCCATATTAGTTAAATTTATTTATTTATTAACAACTTAATTTATTAATAAATAAATAAATACAAGATAATAAAACTATTATATTATTCGTACGTGACACACAAAAACCGTACTGTAAACTATTGCTAAATAAATAAAATTATGTTATCAGGTAAATACTAGCGATGGGAACTATCGAATGAATTAGACTATCGAATGGTTATTGAATGAATGATTTCAACTATCGAATAGTTTTATTCGAATAAAATCATTCATTCATTTGTATACTAAAGCATATGTGACAACCTCGCCGTGCGACTAAATGGTTATCGTTGAGCCACGACTACCTATCGAATGCTTTTGATAAATGAAATTTAGTATTCGTTTGATTTTTGTATGCGTCAGTGCATTATTAGTTCTTCCAAATTTTTATAACTTCATATGTGACAACCTCGCCGTGCGACTAAATGGTTATCGTTGAGCCACGACTACCTATCGAATGCTTTTGATAAATGAAATTTAGTATTCGTTTGATTTTTGTATGCGTCAGTGCATTATTAGTTCTTCCAAATTTTTATAACTTCGCCGTATAAATACTGTGCTATTTTTGCGTTTATTAAAATAGTTAAAATACTAAAATAGTAGTTATTTTTTAATTTTATTTATTGACGATTGTGTGCATGTGCAGGTGGTCAAAATTTTTCCGAAAATTTGTGTGGTTTTCCGTAGTCCGATCTTTCGATTATTTAATTTTATATGGTATATGGCTATTTTTTAATAGGAACTTTTGAGAAGTAGCAATTTTTAAGAGAGATGAGATGAACTTACAATTAATTTTAAAAATACATATTTGTATTTTAGATGTTTTAATAATATGAATTAGTTGAACTTAATAATCATATTTAAGTAATGTGGTTAAGTAAATGGGGTTATCGAACTCAAACTATGGGGTGAGAAAATTAAAATGAAAGTTTTACACGTGCCAATTTTAAAAAAAAGTTAACGATGTTTGTATTTTGTTTATGCTAATTCTCTTACATGTAGTTTTTTGCGAAGAAATATTTCATTTATTTTTTAAAGTAAATGCCAGTAAAAGTAATATAATTAATTAATATAATTTTTAAATAGAGATATAAAGCACCTAATATAAATAATTTTGATTTCTAATTTTTTATTTATATTTTCGTTCCATTACACTGCATGCTTAGAAAATTAATAAATGTTTATATTTCATGATTTTAAAATTTGTTGTTAATATAACAAATTAGTTCTGTAATTATTATTATTTAACAAACCAACGTTGCCAAAAAATTTAAAGACTATATTATTTTTAAATAGGATCTAATATAAATAATTTTGACATCTAATTTGTTGTTTATATTTTGCTACTACTTAAAAAAATATTGATATTAAATCATTTTAAATTTTGTTGTTAATAGGTATAACAAATTATTACTGTTATTATTATTTATTAAACCAGTCTTTGCTTAAAAACATTAAAAATCACTTTCATGTTCTTACATCCAAAATAACAAGTATTATTGCAGTGTAACAACAGAATATTAATAAAAAAAAATGCAGAATATATAGACATACTATCCCTAACTAACTAAAGCCAAACAATAATATTCTTTGCTAATATCAACTAATGCCAAAATATGGCAACAGCGCCCTTCATAATGTATTTTCTGTGTAAATACTAGCACCTCAATAAAAAAAATAATGTGTCCTTATCTATATCTGACTCCGCAAAAAATCAAAGATGCCGGCTTCTTTCATAGCATTGCCACCGACTGCTGTCGGGTTTCTCGGAAAGAAACCTACGTCGCCGGGCGACAACTAAAATTCAGTTACTATTTTATTATAATCGATCCTGACGAATAAATGAATTTCATAAATGAATGAATTTTATAAATGAATGGTTTTTGCTGCCGAATTACTAGAATACAATATTTCAAGGCAGATGACGGATCTATTCGATAATTTTTATTCGAATAGTTTTCAACGAATGTTTTGGTTTGGTTTGGTTTGGTTTGGTTTGGTTTGAATTGTTGGTTGGTTGTTGTAATTATTCGAATGAATTGCAACTATCGAATGTTTCTATAGTATTCATTCGATAGTTCCCACTACTAGTAAATACTTAAAAAAAATATTTTAGCAGTTATTTTTTAATTACTATGTGATCTTGTGAAACCCTGTATATTTTATTTTAAGAAATTCTCTTTTATTTAAATAAAATAGTTATTTTAATTTTAATTTTAAGACTCTGTAATTGTAAATTCATATATAGTAAGTATCTAAGACAAATTTTAAAACTTTTATTAAAACTAGTAATAATCATTTAGTTTTTATTAGAAATTATAAGAAATTACAAAAAGGCTTTTGCATATAGTCATGCTTTATTTAACTAGAACATCATTTAGATGTTTTTGTCTTGAGAAAAATTGCCGAACTGACTATTGGTGTCATTCATTGATTTTTTAACCTCAGTGTCTTTCGATGGAGTTTCAGTTAAGGTTTCAACGATTACAACAGCATCCCTACTCCCACTAGCCCTAAAGCTCATAGTACTTTCAAAACCTAATTATTCTTTTCAATTCTCTTCAGTTTACCCTTTAATGGGTCTTTGTTTCGTTATTATACTAGCCAATTGAAATAAAACTTATGGCGTCCACCTGTTAAGCTTGAACTCTGAAAAAACAAGGGAAAATGATCGTCGATGGGTCTTAACCTTAGTCTTAACGCCTTTCTTTTCTTCGTTACTAAGGCCCGGTTGTACCAACGAAGTTCACCGACAGATCAACTGTGAACGACGATCAAAGCAAAAAATGCGTTGTACCAAGCCTGAACGCCGTTCAAATTGCCCGGTCAACTGAACGGTGACATTAGGCGGTTCAAGCGTCGTTCAGGGGTAGACATAACCTTATTATTTGACATATTCCGCTTTTCGTTGTTTTGATTATCGTTTTGTTGTTGTTCTTAAGATTTTTCGTAATGGATCCTTTATTAGGTGAATTAACTGACGACGAAGACTTTTTAGAATTAGTGAGACAACATGAACGGCTAAGGAGACCACAAACAGAACGATTTCGACCAAACAATTTCGAAAAATGGAATGACGTGGATTTTAAAAAAAAATTTCGACTTGCTAAACCTATTGTGAATTATTTAATAGAGGAAATTTCCGGTTTAATTGCATCTAAAACAAACAAGTAAGTTTAATTATGTATATTTACTGTATCTTATTTAAGCTTTTATTTTTAGAAATCATGCTTTAACACCAGCTGACATGGTATTTATCACATTACGGTTCTTAGCAACAGGATGTTTTCTACAAAGTGTTGGTGATATCAGTGGTGTAGACAAGTCTACTACGAGCCGCGTGATTACAAAAGTAACTAGAGCTATAGCATCTTTAAGCAAGGACTTTATTAAAATGCCAATGGGAGTGGAAGATAGAAATTCAAAGTCACAAGCATTTTATAATATTTGTCGCTTTCCAAGATGCATAGGAGCAGTTGATTGTACGCATGTGAAGATACAATCTCCTGGAGGGGCAAATGCAGAGAATTACCGCAATAGGAAAGGATGTCCAAGCAATTTGTGACAGCGATTTGAAAATATCTAACATTGTGTGTAGATGGCCTGGTTCTACACATGATTCAATGATTTTTAGAAATTCTAGAGTAAAGGCTGAGTTTGAAAATGGAGTATATGGAAAAAATTTATTACTAGGGGACAGTGGGTATGGAGTAAAATCATACCTAATAACCCCTTTGGCCAATCCAACAACGAGGGCTGAAAACTTATTTAACGAAGCTCAGATAAGAACAAGAAACCCAATAGAAAGGTGTTTTGGTGTACTAAAAAGAAGATTTCCTATATTAGCGACAGGAATCCGTTTAAATGTTGATAAAGTAGAAGCAATAGTGGTTTCCGCTACTGTTCTTCATAACATAGCGTGTCATTTTGCAGATCCAACACCATTAGTAACTGATGAAATTGACGGAAGTCAAAGCGGAAATAAACATTGGAAATAATATAAGAGAACATGTTCCAAATGACTTGGGTGATATAAATAATAGTTTTAGATATAGTTTAATTAATGAATATTTTGAATCACTGTAAATATGTTATTTTACGATATAGAATATATTGCTGAGTATTAATTATTTACATCTAGAACTAATTATTTACGTCTAGAAAATGTTTCAATATTATTTTACTAAAACATTCTTAAAATGTCTTAATGTTTTAAAGTCAAAATAACTTGTTAATTAATTAAATTGTGATTATAATTACCGTAAAATAAATTACCATTACATACTCTTGTATATATTTTGATTTATGTATATAATATTAATATTTTTTATTGTATGTATAGGATTATTTTTATATTTTTGATAATTCTGATTATAAGTAGATAATTAAATAACAATAATTAATAAATGATATTAAATTAATACAATTCAGTATACTTGTTTGTACTAGATATGTAATATGTAAAAGAAATAAAACGATATAATATGTATGCATATTTTCAAAATTCATATATATTGTGTGTTAAGTGTTTATATAATATTTTTTAATAATTATATATTTACAGAGTATTTATTGGTCAATTATTTTTTTTATTAGTTCCTTACTAAATTTTAAAAATTGAATTCTCTCATCATGCTCCCTTTCTTGCTGCCACATAAAGGCTTCATGCTTTTCCTGCATTTGAGACATTTTTAAATTGTGCTGCTCTAGGAAACATTTCTTTTGAAGCTCAGCGAGTTCAATTTTTGAACTACTCCAATCCGTTAATTTTTTTGTTAAACCCCTTACATACTACCCTCTAAATATAGATTTCACTTTTATATAATAATATAATATAAAAAATAAGGTATGATGTACAGATGTATTAGCTAGAACGTCTAAAAAGTAAATGAACGAATCGGTCAGCCGCGAACAGGTATTAAAAAGTCGTATTTTATGGCAACAGAAAGGAAAAAAGGTACCATAATTTATATTTTGGGAGAACCCGCCAATCAATAAAACAAACTTTTAAAAGCATTTACGCCAACTTATATAAAAACTCCAAAAGTTACTGTGAAATTCAATACCAACATAAGAAACTAAATATTGATCGACGTTCTACTGAACGCGAGTTGGTGCAACGCAATCCAAGTTCAACTTTGACCAACAGATCAGTTGAACTCTCGTTCAATTTATTTTGGTACAACCGGGCCTAAGGTTTGAAAACCTAAGGTAGAAAACATCCTGATGCTAAGAACCGTAATGTGATAAATACCATGTCGGCTGGTGTTAAAGCATGATTTCTAAAAATAAAAGCTTAAATAAGATACAGTAAATATAAATAATTAAACTTACTTGTTTGTTTTAGATGCAATTAAACCGGAAATTTCCTCTATTAAATAATTCACAATAGGTTTAGCAAGTCGAAATCTTTTCTTAAAATCCACGTCATTCCATTTTTCGAAATTGCTTGGTCGAAATCGTACTGTTTGTGGTCTCCTTAGCCGTTCATGTTGTCTCACTAATTCTAAAAAGTCTTCGTCGTCCGTTAATTCATCTAATAAATAATCCATTACGAAAAATATTAAGAACAATAACAAAACGATAATCAAAACAACGAAAAGCGGGATATGTAAAATAATAAGGTTATGTCTACCCCTGAACGACGCTTGAACCGCCTAATGTCACCGTTCAGTTAACCGGGCAATTTGAACGGCGTTCAGGCTTGGTACAACGCATTTTTTGCTTTGATCGTCGTTCACAGTTGATCTGTCGGTGAACTTCGTTGGTACAACCGGGCCTAAGAGAGTTGGGATCTAAAAATTGCATTACGATATCCCACAAAACGGTCAAGAAATGATGTTGGTTTTAAAACGCCTTTTTACATACCTTTGGCAATCTCCAACATAATTTAGTTTTGGAATAGAATGTATGCACTTGTAAATATTTTGTTTTCGTATGACCTCTACCTGGCTGAGCAGAAAACGATCAAATTTGGTTGATATAAATGTATACGACCAAAAAATAATTCATGCATTTTTATATCAGTTGGAATGAACACTATTTATTCTTATTAGTACACATTTTTTGGCTTACTTTTACAAACGAAACGGTTTTGTCCCGCTATACTTATCATCCACCGCACTGTGCGCCGTTGGGACGATCGACCGGCAGGCAGATACAAAAAATGCATTGTATAACTTTTTAACATATGGATTATCGGTTTAAATTGGGTTTAAATAAATACAATCGAATAATTTATTCCCCAACTTTATTTTCAGTGCAATTTATTAAGATAACAGAGTGGAAAGCAAAATCATCTGGTTAAATTAAATTAAATAAGATAATAATACTTTTTTAAACCAGGTTTATTTATGTTCAAAAGTTAAATAATGATTTTTTTACCTTAATTATGAAAATAGTTTATATCGTATTTTCAGAAAGCCATAACAAGGCAAATAAAATAAAAAAATAATACACTGGGTGTCATTTACACATAAAAGTCAGATTTCGAAAATGAGAGTTACAAGCGAAACTAGTTAACGTCACTGGATTCTATATAAAAACTCAACGAGACTAAGTTTTCACCTTTTCGATAAGCTAACCAATATACCATGGGATTGAAAAATGCAACATTTTAAAATTCTCCCTGTACTTTAGGAACTAAAAAGACTAAGACAACTCTTGTAGCATCTTTGGTTTCATAAAAAGTAGTATAGTGATGTGAAAACCGCATCTTTAGAAGTATAAATCGTCCCATTGCTGCCAAAAGTCACTAACTTACTTTTTATTACTTCCGAGAAAAATGCGTCTAAAGATGAATTACATTGCATAAAGATGTTATAGTTAGTAACTATTCGGTATTAAAATAAAACATAAATAGCCAGAAATAGTAGTTGACTTAATGACTTTTGCAATCGATTCTCCGCTTTAAAACATAGTTAGTGATTGAATTTGGTTGTTCGGAAAAATGTTAGTTAGTGACTTTTGGCAGCAATAGGACGAAATGCAATAAACATTATTAAAAAATACAGTAATTATTACTCATACATACATAAGTCACCTCAGCAAAATTTATCTAGTGTTCCTTACCCTTTATATAACATTTAGAATAAATAATAATTATTTTAAACAATAACATGGTAGAGTGAGTATATTGGTATACCCCAAAGATATTAAATATCTTTGGTATACCCTGTATTTTCAGTAAATTTTTCCACCTAATTAATATGATATTTATAGATTTCTTTAAGCGAATATCAAATTATGCATTTTCACAATAGAGATATTTAAGTAAGTTATGTAACAATTAAATTTAACTAAATTCAAAAAATTTTTGGCGAAAATTGTTCGCGGCGTGTTTGGTTTGGAGTGTGCAGTTTACCGCCAGTCGACGGGAACGACACGCCGCACAGTGCTTCGAACATATGGCTCTAGAGGACAAAAATCCAAAACTTCTCTTTTATTGTAAGCAATTTATTCAAACTAGGTGTATTTGACACAAATGATGAGTACTCTCATTGTACTAAATGATGATGTTCTTAGTCTCACGTTTATGAAAAAAAAATCTTATAAATAATAATAATGTTGGAGCTGTGTTCCATCTAAGCAAATAATAAGTTATAGTATGAAAACGGTGTAAGTATTAAATAAATTCCTGTGATAAAAAAGAATTGAAGTAACATTAGAACATGATTCCTACAATATAAGCGTAATATAAGATAAAAATGTTTTTCTTTAATGAAAAAGAAACATTAATGTTATATTTAATTAAAAAAAAACTTAAGATACTATAAATTTACTTTAGGACAACAAAATGCATAGATCGTAACTACTCTGACTCAGGAGAATCACTGCTGACAGAATCTTCCAAATTTATAGTATCCAAATCACAGGTAGATGAAGTATCCTCACATATAAGATATTTCTGTACATCATTTTCAAATATGTTACTTTTTCGCGTTGTTACTGTTCATTTTGTCGGTATGAGGGGTTCGGATGTTAATAGTTACCTCTTTAATAGACCATATCCATATATTATTTTTTCCTTTTCTTGGGTATGAGATTTTATAATAAATTGAAAGATGGGGGGGGGGGACACTTTTTATGCTACGTTTCGCTCCAACATAGTGGACTTTTTCAGGCACAAGTGGCTCATTTGACTGGAAGGTTCATCAATATCTAATAAGAACATATTTTTTGAAATACAAATAATTTTGAGTTCTTGTCCTTATGATCAAGCCAAGTATTAGCCAGATCAGCATTGCTTATCAATTTTACTCCATCTGAAAAGTATTATAAAATAAAGTTCGTCGCAAGCAGACGCAGGTGAACTATACAAAAATTAAAAGTGTATGAATATGGCAACAAAATATTCAATAAATACGATATGTTTTGATATGTTTTTTTAAATGCTTTTTGAAGTTTTAAAACGTAAAATTTTATACCCATTTAAGAATCATCTTAAAAATTAAATAAAAAACTAAACAATCACGAACTTGTTTAGAAATAAATTTAAAGTACATACCTTGTTTAACAATATCCATAGTGGCTTTCAATTAAGTACGTACCCGTTTAACTCCATAATATACAGAACTACTATGAATGTTATTCTTTTCACTGATGAGATAATGATCGCAAAATTTATTTTTAGTGAAAATATTTGCTAACAAAAACGCTGTTTATGAAAAATAATATACAGGATAGTTGAACATTGCTATAAGTATAAAATTATATATTCAGATATTAGTAAATTTTAACTTATTTTTTGATTTTTGTCCATGGGACGAAGCACTGTGCGCCGCCCGACGATCTCCGCGCCGACCCATTCACATGGCGTGTGGAGCGGCAGTTCACGGTTCAGGCGCGTCCTGGCGCGGGATTCCACACTCCGTGTAACTGCTCATATACCAGGCCCGTGGCCCAAAAATCGGCGCGCCGACCCAATCACACGGAGCGTGGAGCGGCAGTCGACGGTCCAGGCGCGGCGCTCCACGCGCCGTGTAATGGCACCTTAAGGGAGTTGCTAGAGGAGTGTATAAAAACATAGAAATGGAGAAAATAGTATCAGAACGGAGAACTGGACCGAAGATAATTGAAGCTAGACGTTTACAAAGAAAGATAATAGTTGATGGCACTGCAAAGTATATAGACACACAATCTGTAATTATTACATTTGAAGGTAAAATTATTCCTAGCTCCATAAAAATTAAATATTGCGAAGTAAGAGTGGATATATATGTCAGCCCGGTGATCATGTGTTTCAATTGTATGAGGTATGGACACTCGAATACACAATGCAGAAGCAAACAGAGGTGTTCAAAATGTGCCGAAGAACACGATATATCTGCTTGCCAAGAGAAGGAGGCGGTCTGCATATACTGTAAAGGAAATCACGTCACCACAGATAGAAATTGCCCGGAATATAAGAGACAGAGGGCTATAAAAGAAATAATGGCGGCAGAAAACACGTCATATTTTGAAGCTAGAAACAAAGTACCCAAGAATTATTTATCAGCCGAGTCTTCCTTCGTCGGAGCTCACCTAGACAGCA